AAACCCCCCCCCCCCCCAGAGTTAAGATTTTACTCTACTCAATCTTATATGCAATCTAGAATTACCTCTCCCGAGTTCAATCCTAGATTCGTAGATAGTATTCAATTGGTGATCAAGCAATCAAATAATTAAGCGCAAGATTGAATAAATAAATCAATATGATAAAATAATAAGAACAATCTGAGCTTCAAACTACAACGTTCATGTAGCACCCAAAACTCAAGAACTAATGGACTATGAAACTAAAAGAAGAAAAGATAAGAAAAACTAGTTCGAACCCTCCTCCAAAGCGTGGTGTGTGTTCCTCCACGTCTAAAGTGTGTCCTTAGGTCTCAGATCTGTCAAAAGTCCTCAAAATAACACTTTTATATGTATTTATACCAAGTAGGGTTGGGCCCAGAGAAAACACCTTCTCCCGCGCAAAATAGGACACTGGCTCTATAAATTTTGTACAGCCGCGTCGCACCCTGCGCCGCGCTAATGGAGTTTAACAGCAACCTCAACTTTTCGCATCAGGCAGCAGTTTTCACTGCTGCGCCGCCTTGCGGCGTCCCATGCGGCGCGACAGTGTAATTTTCTCAAAGTGAACTTATTTCGTCCTCTTTTAACATCCGGACTTGGTACACAACCTCCGAACACGATCTCGGCTTAATGTCTTGGACTTTTACTCAGACTTCAAAGCTCCAAATCACTTGAATTCATTCCATAACACCTACATAGATCGGAATCACTACTACAAGGCATAAAACACATATTTAGTGCAAAACACTAACGATTAAAGCTCAAACTCAATTAAAGTGCAGTAACTTAGAGTGTAATAAGCGACTAAAATACACAATTATAGCCTATCATCAAATATATTGGGGAAAATATTTAATTTGATGCTGGTATTAAGATGGTGAACATATGAAAGAGCTATGGAAGACTACTAAAACATTCTGAGACAATAACATTTTAATTAGATACTTGTCAAAAATGACTAATAAGAGTGCCATCTTGTTCAAAAGTGACCAAAAGAGTAGTATTTCTTTGGCTGGTTAATTGCTATCTGGAGTTCATAGGTACTTTGTTAATGGAAACAAAGAATCTGAACCAGCTTACTCATTATGTATTCGTGTCTTTGACCACTTTGTTGGAGTTTTCAGACTGCAACAACTGAGGAAAAACACTCGCTTTTATTCAAACTCATCATCAGTGGCTGCAACCACAACCACAAGTGGGATCTGGGGAAGGTAATATGTACACAATTTTTCCCCTACCCCTAGAAAGGCACAGAGGTTGTTTCCGATAGACCTCGACTAGAAAACGATTGAAAAAGAAAAGGTAATTCTAACAAGTAGGAAATAAGATCAAACCCAAGAATGCAGTCAAACTAAGTAATAATAATCATCTATGAATAAAAGATATTATAATAACACTAATGTTAGCAAACCAAGTAAACAAAGAGAAACGATCGACTACCTACAAACCTTCTACTCTACACTTTGACCTCCACCCCCTCTTGTCTACGGCCATATCCTCAAGACTTTTTAAAATTCACTGATCTATCAACCAAAGAAAAGATTGCACTTTCCGCTCTAAGATAATTAACAAACAACAAAAATCCAATTGTTTAATTAAAACATCTCATTCAAGTGAAAAGATTTTTTTCCTACCTATGAAATGAACTCAATGTAATCCAGGTACCACATTATAAGTAGTTGGTGAGTAAAACTATAATGAATCAAAGAACTGAAGAATGCAAACAAGTCAATAGTGGCCAGGTCCAATTTCAAGGAAAATCACTATATGAATTGAAGTCCATTTTTCACTATATGAATTGAAGTCCAGTTTTGTTCAGATAACTATTTGATTGTTTCTCAAAAATATCTAGAAAATGCTGCAACAATAAGTTCTGTCTATTACTATATCTCAAGCTCAAACGAGGACTGCTACAAAAGAAAACTGCAGTAAATGGAAAGCCATTTCATATACCTTAAAGGGGCTTTTTTCATACGAGGACAAAGAACAAACAACATTAATTCAAATTAATACACAACACTTGTGCTGATATTAAGCTTAACACACAAACTATATATGTGGATTCTTAAAAGAACAGCACAAACCTAACTCTACCATTGCAAAAAAAAAAAACGAACCAATAATAATACTAAAGTTTAGAAGTCTTCATCCAGCTTGAACTCATGAGTATCACCATTTCCATTCAAACTGGACATAACAGAAGCCTTCTGATACTCCCCAACTCTCTTCTCAAAGAAATTAGTCTTCCCTTGTAAACTAATCAGCTCCATCCAATCAAACGGATTCTGCGCATTGTACAGCTTATCATAACCCAAAGCATCCAACAATCTATCAGCCACGAATTCAATGTATTTGCTCATCAAATCTCCATTCATTCCCACCAGCGCACAAGGCAGCGCGTCACACACAAACTCCCTTTCTATCTCCACAGCATCTGCAACAATTCCCTTAACTCGTTCCTCAGTAAGCTTCGTCCTTAACAAACTATAAAGCAAACAAGCAAAATCACAGTGCAAACCTTCGTCCCTTGAAATTAACTCGTTCGAGAAAGTTAATCCAGGCATTAACCCCCGCTTTTTTAACCAGAATATAGCACAGAAGCTTCCAGAGAAAAAAATACCTTCCACACAAGCAAAGGCAACCAAACGCTCCGCAAATGTTTCGGAACCATCGATCCAACGTAGGGCCCACTTCGCCTTCTTCTCAACACAGGGGATAGTCTCAACTGCGCGGAATAATCTGCTTTTTTCGTCAGAGTCCTTGATGTACGACTCTAGAAGCAGACTGTACATCTCGGAGTGGATGTTTTCAATCGCGATTTGGAAGCCGTAGAAAGCACGCGCCTCGGCAACTTGGACTTCTTTCATGAACCTTCCGGCTAGGTTTTCTAAAACGATGCCGTCTGAGGCGGCGAAAAAGGCAAGGACGTGAGTGATGAAATGCCTTTCACCGGGGGTTAGGGTTTCCCAGTGACGGGTATCGGAAGATAAATCGACTTCTTCAGCAGTCCAGAAAGAGGCTAAGGCTTTTTTGTACATTTCCCAAATTTGTGGGTATTGAATTGGGAACATACAGAACCGATCTGGGCTTGAGGCCAGCAAAGGCTCTTCTGGAATTAGAGGCATTTTTGTTTTTCTTTCTGAAAATTGGATATGAANTTTCTTTCTGAAAATTGGATATATGGAAGATATTTTCTAGGGTTTTTGTAGAGATGAGTGGCTTGAGAAAGAATGGTGGGAATGATAAGATATATAAAGGCGGCAGCCAAAGAGGGATTAGGTTTGAATGAGAGGGTGAGAGCGCGATTTTTGAATTTTTTGAGGAGAAGCTTGCGGGAGAATTTTGATTTTTGTTAAAACTGTAAAAACAGCTTGCGGGAGAATGAATATAATCCAACTGGCTGAAGACTAATGGACCACAAATTTTTGAGTTTCAAATTTTGCCGCCACTATTTAGATATTTCAATATTCACTTTTCCTTTCTACGCAAATTATTACATGCGGGAAAAAGAAATTATTACTACAATTTACAACCGAATAAATTCTACGTTATTCCTGACGTGCTTGAATACGGGCCGTTGGTTTGTTTCTGTCATTGCTAACAGTTTGCATCTAGATTTCCAAGTACATTTTAAGATTTCACTGATAACCATTTGTGTCTGTGTGTATATCAGTAGCAGTATGCATCAGATCTTCCCATTACCATATTATGTTTGCCTGATAAAAATTAATTTTGTACTTTTAATTGTCACTTGTCAAGCATATTATTTAGCTAGTGGTTTACATATTGCCAACACTTCTCATTGGGACTTGGGAGCAGAACCTCCACAACAACCAAAAACTTCTCGTTCAAGCTTCATCAATTTGATTTACTTTATTCGTGGTCCCGAAACAATTTTGCTCATTTCTAGGCATGTACTCACTCCTGTTCACAATAAATGTCCAATTTATTTTTTATTTTGGTTTAAAATAAGTGTCCAGCAATCAAGAAAGAATTCAATTTATTTTTACAAAATAACCCCTATGTACATATCTCTAAAAAGTTTTCTTACTCCTCACATTAAATGTTTAATTAGGGGTAATTTAGTCATAGTAGGTATTTTTGTATAGAATTTATTATTTTCTTAATGGGCGTGCTAAAAGCAAATTGGACACTTATTGTGAACCGGAGGGAGTAATTGATTGTAATAACAGTAAAAATTAAATCGTAGAGCCAATAACCAAATATTACTTTGAATAAAGATGGTTACCTTAATAATTTGTCTAATAACTAGAAAATACCAAATGATTAGGAACAGTTATCATCGAAGCCAAACAGACCGAGGACGTATAAACAGCGGTTTCCTCTTCACTAGATAACAACGAGAAATAATGTAGAGGCAGAGTGTTCTGGCACGACGAGGCGAAAACACAATAGAAAATAGAAATGACCGGGGAATGAATGAGTCGTGATCTACCACATTGAGTATTTACAACCAATGTACACTAATGAAAGACTGATGGACGATGATCCAGATTGAAAGGGATTCACTATCTTTATCTGTGTGCTGTACAAGAGCTCTGGCTTTAGGTAGTGGGATTTTAAGCAGCAGTCTTACTTAAACTGCGTCAATAATGGGATCTATTCAATTTCCATCCCGAGCAGAATCGTCGTCTTCTGCTATCATCCAAGGCTGCTTAGGACCCTGAGGGAACGTAAACAAGAAAAACAAAAAAAGGACCATAAAATGAATGCAAACATCACAGTTCAGAGAATTGACAGGAGAGGAGAGAAAAACATATTGATCCATAGTTAATCGCCTTACCAGATAATAGAACAACCATGCGTTCCATTATGAATACAACAATGAATGAGAAAACAAGAAGGCAGTCAGTAATTAACTACTTGCTGATCATTATTTTGAAGCAAAATCACTTTTTAAAGGGCACTATGTTATAAAATTTCATTAATTTTACTTCTCCAACAATGCATAAACTGCTATCTGACATCTCCCTTAAGCTTGTTGCAATGATGTTTGACATGATATGTGCCCTTGCTACTTCTCAATAGTTTCATGAACCTTGCACCTTCAGAATCGAACTCTACTATCCTGGCCAGTACTTAATTAAGCAGCTTTCTCATTTACAACATGATGAATCTCTACAATTGAGGCTCGTGACGCTCTTCTACCATCTCTCTTTGTAGCCAATCCAAGATTAGTTTTTTCTTGACAGTTGGTACCAGTTTAGTGTTTAAATTACCTAATAAATTTTGCTGTAGGTTGTCACCGCCTCTAAGAAACAAATTATGTACAGCACAAGGCCGGAAACATTCAACAGCTGAACATAAAAAAATTATGATGCTAGTGTGCATTTAAGGAATGTATTCCATATTTTAGAAAAAATAAATTACTTTCTTTGCCAAAACTAGCAAACCCCAACCACATATGGTGTCGACTATTTTCCAATTTTGTCGGATGATCATCCTCTTCGCTAAGAGTGGGAAGGGAATGTCATCTCTTTGGGAGCTTTGAGAGTATTTGGCTAAGCTTAAAAGCTGGTCAAACATAAGCATTTTTCGGCTTATCTACGTGTTAGTAAAATTAAAAGTACTTATAAACAAAAAAATAAGCCAAAAGCGATAAGTTGGTCTCCCTAACTTATTAAATTTCAGCTTATATGCATTTTAGATTTGACCAAAATATTTATTATTCTATCCCTAAAATACTTCTTTTAAAAAAAACTCCTCGCATAATTTCACTTTCTCCCAATTCTTCAAAACGTAAACATTCCGTACCTCTGCAATTCTCCAGACCAGATTTCCGTCAGCAATTTGAGGTAACAAAATTCACTTGTCTTGTGCATATTGTTGTACCTATGTCACGTGTATTAACTGTTAGCCTCAAGTAAGAGTTTCCTACTCTTAGTTGTATATTTTTATTGTAGGATTTTGGTTTTGTTTTCATATGTTCTCTTGTTTTTAATTGTTAATAATGGGGTCGTCCAAGATTGTTTGGTTGAAGTGAGCGCACAAAAACTTGCTACAGACTTATACAAGTTAAATCCAAATCACTATTATATACAAGAACCTTTGAACATGCAAAACTGCTTCATCTGCGAAGCAGATGGTATTCAATAGTGTGCATAGCAAAGATTAGATGTTTATAGACACTAAGAAGATACATACTAGTCAAATAACCAGTGTAAGAGACGAACCAGAGGAGTTTATCAAACACTCTTTGAGATTAAATTTGTGCATTTTAAATCTATGTTAGTAACTCCGTACCTAATACATGGATAACATACGCATTTGTAGACCCAAAAAAGGATAAAGAAACTACTACTAATTGTATAAGAGAATACATTCACAGTTTAAGGCAGTTAGTCTCATATATAATTTGATTGCTATATTTCCTTCCATTAATTATTGGTTAGCTGCTAGAAGTTTAAGGCAGTTGGTCTTATCACAATATTGAATATAATTTCTACTTCAAAATTATGTGACATACAAAAATAAGAAGACGTTCTTTTGAACTTTGATTATTTTGATTTGTGCTACGTTTATAGCTAAATCTTGTAATCTCTTCATATTGTTAACATTCAATTATGGCAGAAAATATTTTTCGAAAACATAATGCTAAGTGGGACGAATATGCACACATTAAATTCATTGAATTATGTGAGCAAGAAGTTAGAATTGGAAATAGGCACACTTACTTGTCTAAAGATGGAGAGAAGAATATGGTAATTGAGTTCAATAAGAAGACGGGATTACAATATAATAAAAAACAAATGAAAAATCATTGGGATCACATGAAAGCCGAGTGGACTCTATTTAAGAAGCTCATGAGAGGTGTAAGACAGGTTTAGGATGGAGGATCCCACAAGAAAAATAATTATTGCAGATGATGATTGGTGGGAGCAAAAAATTAAGGTACATTGCTTGCCCTTTTCTATAATTATTTCACAACTCTTTCAACTGTTAGTTTCATTTGTTTACTTAGAGTAATTTTATATTCTTTTTTACAGGAGAATTTTAAATACAAAAAATTTAGGAACAAAGACCTTTTGTTGATATGGTTTCGTTACGATGCTATATTTACCGATATCATTCCCACCGGAGAGAGAGCACGTGCAGCAAATCAAGAACAAGACTCTGAAGTTGGGTTAGAATAACATGATGATGGAACACAAATGATGTTTATGATAGTGACATAGAACAATGGAATGATGAAAGAAGCGAGGAAAGTCACGACTTGCAGAATATGGATTCAATTACGTTTCATGAGCCATCACTTTGAAAGCGAAAGTCAATAGAACAATGGAATGATGAAAGAAGCGAGGAAAGTCACGACTTGCAGAATATGGATTCAATTACGTTTCATGAGCCATCACTTTAAAAGCGAAAGTCAATAGATGGCAGTGGCAGTAACAAGTCAAGTGAAAAAGCGCAAGACAAAAAATAATTCATTTATCGCTTAAAGAGGAGATACACATTCTAATTCAGTTCATGTCTAACAAAAGCACATCTAAATCTTCAGAGCCCACCATTGAGAAGTGCATGGACATTTTAGAAAATATATTCTTGGAGGCAGTGATATTTTTAATTGTGATGTGAACTTGTTGACACAGAAAGAGAGGTGACATGCATTTTTCAGGTTGTCTACGGACAAAGTTAGGAAATCTTGGTTTTAAGTATAACCATCGACGATCCTTCGTGTTGAACAATCCATCTAATCTAATCTGAGAAGTTGTTGATGATGCCTTACCCATATTACATTAGCATTAGACATTATTTAACTTGCTCTTTAAACTATGTGTGGAAGGTTATATTATCTTTATGTTTCGTTTCCTGTTTAGACATAATGTTGGTATAATCATTTCTTGTTTAGACATTATGTATTTTATCTTAATAGTCACTATACTATTTACTTTGAAGTTAGCATTTGTCATTTTTAATTCATAACAGTTTGTGTGTCTGTTTCATTTCAGTTTAATGGCATGCCGGAATGTTAGCAATTTGATATCTGGTCATCCAAATGACTTGTTAAATGACGAATATGAAGAAGAGGAAAGTCAAGAAAATAAGGAATGGATGGCACTACACCAAATAGCATGTAAGAGTATATTGATATATTATGAGAAATACATTTGCAAGGAACCATGTCGTACATCTAGACGCATTGGGAATATATTTACCCAAGAGATATTACATGGAAATGAGACTCAGTGTTATGAAAATTTTCGATTGAGGAAGTCGGTATTTCTTGATTTAAGCAAAGATCTAACTGATAAATATGGTCTTAAACCCACGCGTGGGATGTCTGTATATGAGGAGTTAGGGATGTTCTTGATGATTTGTGCACATGGTGCCGGGAATCGATTGGTACAAGAGATTTTTCAACATTAAGGAAAAATAATTCATTGGCATTTTCATAGTGTTCTAAAGGCCATTGGTAAGCTCTCAAGAGACATAATTCAACCACATCCAAGTTATAATGATGGTGCGGGATATCACGAGCCATGTAACTAACGGTATCTCCCTTCTTTAAAGTAAGTGCATTTCTTAACCAATTACATTATAACTCAAAAACTTATCCGGTGTAAACTTACATTTAGTTTATGCATGTATAAATTTTTAGGATTATATTGGAGCACTTGATGGCATACATGTGAAAGCAAGATTGCCTCAAGGTCAAGAGATACCATACATTGGGCGTAAAGGTTACCCTACTCAAAATATTCTTGATGTTGTCGACTTTAATATGTGTTTTACATTTGCCTGGACTCGGTGGGAAGGAGCAGCTCATGATAATCGTATATTTGGTGAGGCACTTCGTAGACTCGAACTAAACATTCCACATCCATTTAGGGACAAATATTATCTTGTTGATACAAGATATTAACACATGAAGGGATATATGGCTCCATACAAAGGGGATAATGTGAGATACCACCTTGCAGAATTTCGTAGAGGTGCGACCACTGGCGGATGCAGTATAGAACCATCGGGTTCAACTGAACCCAATACTTTTAACGGGGAGCATAAATTTATGTATAAAAAATCAGTAAAATTGCAATAAATAGTACATATGAACCCATAACTTTAAATGCTGAACCCATACATCTAAAATCCTAGATCCGCCTTTGGGTGCGACACGACAATTGCGAGCACCAAATGGACATAAAGAAATGTTCAATTATTTGTTCTTCTTGCAGAAACATTGTAGAGTGAAAATTTGGGGTATGGAAAGCAAGGTGGTCTACTTTGCTTGATATGTCTTTCTATTATATTGACACTCAAAGAGACATAGTATTGGCTACTGTTAGCGGAAACGTAAAAGAAAGAACACAAGATTTAACGTGGTTCGGATCAAAATAATCCTACGTCCACCAGAGAACAATTGCCCTTTTAATATTAACAAAGGAAGGGGAGATTTCCCAATTACACTTAAGAGAATTTCTCTCTTAACTCTCTACTCACTACAATGTATTGTATTATTTTGGGATAATTTCTACAAGTGAAGGAGTGCATCTATTTATAGAGGTAAAGACCTCCTCTTGATGTCATTGGTGACATCAAAGGAGGAAGTTTCCTCCTAGCATCCACACCAACTCTTTCCACCAACTCTTCCAATTGGCATGTCATTGTTGACTAAACATAAACCAATATTTTCAGCATGCCATTGTTAACTAAACATAAACCAACATTTTCAGCTACAATAGTAATTCACAATTACATTAGAAAGAAATGTAAGGTGGATAATGCATTGCAAGAAGCTGAGAATGAGAGATATGTGCCACTTGTTGATCCTGATGTTGGAAGAAGAGTCAACATTGCAAATGTAGAAAATGTAGAAAATCAAGGAGATAATAATATTTGGAGGGCAATTCGTGAACTGATTGCTCAAGATATTTATGATAGTTGAATGTTTTAATTTAATTTACCACAAACAATACACATTAAGTGCTTGTTTCTTCTCTACAAATGCTTTGTGCATTATTTAAGTTTTTTTTCTGAACTTCTGTTAATTTATACTCCCACCATTCTAATTTATATGAGACTCTTTAACTGGGCACGAAGTTTAATAAAGAAAATAAAAACTTTTAATAAAAACTTCTCATCAAGGGTAGAAAGAAGTTTAAGTTATATTGTTTCTATATTTAGAAAATGATCATTCTTATTGGATGGACAAAATAGAAATTAGGTGAACATAAATTGGAACAGAGAGAGTAATAATTATCATTTTGTAGCTTATGACTTATACTAATCATATCATAAATTATATTTATAAAAAAATATCTAATCATTTTTGTATTTAAAATAACATGATAAATAGATTATTTTGTACTTGAATCTATCTAGAATCTAAAATTTTGAAGAAAATGACAGTCTTTAGTAGCGTAAATAGTTATAAGGTCATTTAAGTCATTTTAACCAAAAAAAGAGCTTATCAGCACTTTTTAACCAAACACTTCGGTTGCTTATTATTAATTTCAGCACTTTTATCCAAACACGGAATTGCTTATTTATTAAATCAACTTCAACACTTAAAAGTGTTTTTTAGCACCTGATGCTTATCAGCTATTTTAAATCAGCTAAATCAAGCGGGCTCTTTGTCTAATTCAAACATTCTTGATGTGTTACCAAACTCTCATACAGCATAGAAAACCAACCGAGTGCAGTTGTCATTGATAAAGGTGCTTATGCAGCTATAGGGCAGTAAGGTTTTCTCATTATAAAGGACTACCAGGTTATCCGTTATACGACTCCAATTTGACACATTGTTCACGCATATGCACTCAGAATCAGCCACAAGTTCCGCCACTCTACTTTCCTAATATGAATAGGTGGCAAACTGCTAGCTAGGTTTCAATATTCTAAAATTTAAGAAACATATGAGATCATGTAGTACACAGGGCTAAGGCATCAGGTCCAGGAACCACTAGTTTACCTTTCCCTGCCGTATAAGACGAGGAGAACTTGCAGTCATATCTACTACAGTAGATGGATCAGCCACTCGAAGACCAGCATCAACAACAAAATCAAGTCCCTAATATCATCAAAGAAGAAAGAAAGAGAAATTCAATCCATTTAAAAGATTACAACCAAAAGAGATCACAAGAGGACAGGGTACTGACCAACCAAAACCTTTTCTAATGAGCCAGAAAATGTAAGAAACCAAAATATAGACATAGAGCTCCATGCAAAGGAAAAAACATAAGCAAGAAATGGAGCAGAATTTTACGAAGTAAACATATCCAACTCGCAAGCTGCAGCAATCATAGATTCATAAAGGGGCGGCTCGAACACATGTGTGGCCTAAAGCCAAAGTTTAATGTGATGCCTAAATTTTTAAAATAAAGTTATGATATATATATATTTTCATTTGACGTCTATTTTTCTATCTTTTCGTGATGCAAAGTTGTTAATAATTTTTTTATAATCGATTTCCTCTAAAATTCCTTTTCAATTGATAATATAGCCAACCCCTTTAATCTATCTTGAGATATTGTTAATCCCAGGTAAGATTTTATCACTTATAATCTTGAAAACTTCTTTTCTTTGAGGCAACTGTTCTAGAAAAACTCTACTTTTGTATGAAAAGTACTAAATATTATTTTTTTTAAATACTTTAAACCTATTATTTCTAAATTGGGGCCCCCAAAAGGCAAACGCCTTACTTGAAACAACGTTAGAGCCGGCCCTGGATGCATATAACACACAAGGGAAATATAAAATCCGTAGCTCAGAGCAGAATGGAATGAACGAGATCCTGCTTAGCATTCACAGTCAAGGGTGAGGAGTTTGTCAAAGTAAGCTGATAGATGAACAGTCGCACACAACCGTCACCATTATGATGGAGCATACACCTCTGATAGTATTGCTCCAGAAACAATACTTAGTCTGTTCCTCTCTATTTCTAAATTTAAAGAAAGAGAGCAAGTAAAGAGAAACAGCCTAAACCAGCTGAATTCATTGGCGGAATAGTACCTCTGGACCATATACATCAGCTATAATGACAGGATCCAGTATCCACTCGTTTTCCTCTGGTGACTTGACACTGAACCATTACGTGATAAATAAATCAGGATTACTATCAGTAGGTATGTCAGTCAAAAATAAAGCAGCAGCTACTGTGCAAAAATCAGTCCACTCGTTTACCTATGCTAGCATACCTTGTGGAAATAAGAGGTCCATCCATCTTTTCTAAGATTGCTTGACAGACAGGATCATCAGGTATACGAACACCAACATTTTTCCTTGAAATGTATCTGGATGCAGCAGTCCCATACCTCGTGCATTGTTTTGGTAGTTGTTTGCTAGCAGTTAAGATGAAAGTGTACTGCCACATAGGCAATTAACAGTGCACTATCAGTTTCAAGAAGTTTACAGGTCTAGCCAGACTTGGGTACCCAAAATGTCAAATGCTGATGACTCAAAACCGCCAACCCCCACGGTAAGGATTAAAAGGAAAAAGATCTTTATATGAAGATTTTAAAATCTGCATGAAGTAAGGTGACGACCGACAAGTAGTTGAACTAATAAAAGTAATACTCAGACTCACATAGTAAAACCTGATGATAATATAATCTCTAGGAAGAGAATGTAGACTTCCTACATTCTCAAATGCACATGCCGGAAAATTTATTAACAATTTACACTGCATGTCTCTACCAAAAACATGTTATGCATACTTACAGGACCGGGCAGGAAATGCTTGACTGCTCGAAAAATGTCTGTAAGACCTTGGCCATTACCACTAGGAAATCCTGTTGTATATGTATCTATGTCCCGGAAGGATCGACATATGATACTAAGGGGCTGCAAAAACCACAGAAGAACGTAAAGAAGACAACATAAATTTACAGTGCAAGTGACAAATATGGAGAAAACACAGGCAGGGCAGGAAACGATAAAATCAATTTTATCAGCTCCAGCATCCACTAGGTTGCTTTATCGTTTTGACAATAAGTTCAGCAACATCAATGCACTTGCCTTTGAAGGTTCTATCTCTTTTATTCTGGCCAAAATTAACAAAAGAAGAATAAATGGAAACTGACATCAAGGGACTCAAGAAAGACATGTAAAGCATGACTTTATAGTAACAGAGAGGTATAAGATATTTTACCTGCGAAGACGTTCAATGGCTGAATGACTGCTCAGGTCACAAACCATTGCGTACCTAGATGAAAAGACATCAAATTTTAGAATATAAGAAGACTGTGATCGAGGATTAAAGCACACTTGGTAACCAAATTTATACTAAGAGTCATGTTTAACTTGGAATCCATTAAGCCATAGGTCCGCACCTTTTCTTATTTTCGGAGATGATTGATCCTAAGTGATAATGGAGATACTACAACTAATTGAGCATGTAAAGTGCCCATATCGTCTAGAGGATGGTGCTTGATACAGTAATGGAATCACAAAAGTTTAGTAAAGCATGATTTACAGCCTAAATTTTGAGTGCTCGGATATCCTTGGAATAGCTTTGTGCAGTGCATCTATTTTATTCTCCATGTTATAGAGAAAAAAAGATGATTGCGTTTTTTTCCCCTAGCAGACTGAAATCAACCTCCCTCTATTTAATCTCACAACAACATTGCACTATTGGATATAGATGTTCCAAAACTATCAATAAAGCCTCGATCCATTTGAGTGGCGTAGGCTTGATGCCAAGCAAGTCTATGATCTTCTAAACCCTAAAAGTCGGGCTTCAATTGTTGAGGGAAAGAATAAAAAGGTTTTTATGACTTAGTTTCCTATGAAAGTAGAACCCAAAAAAAAGAGGGACAGTGTTATGCATGTCAACAGTTGTATTAGCATTTTCATTATACATAACCCAACCAGAAGTTGAACCAATTATGACATGCACAGTACAACAACAACAACAACAAACAAACTCAGGGCAATCCCACATGTGGGGTATGGGGAGTGTGTACACAAATCTTACCCCTACCTTATGAAAGAAGAGAGATTGTTTCCAATAGACACTCGGCTCAAGAACAGTGACAAGGACACAATAAACCAAGATTAACAAAGGCAAGGAAATAAGATAAAAGAAACAAATAGTGAGAAAAATAAGAATGAGTGTAGTGGCATGTCCGTCTGTTCAGGTTTAAACACAAACTAAAGAGTGAGAAATAGAACGTACAAAGTGTCAGTGGGAATCACTCCAACAGCTCCTCCTTTAAGAAGTTCAACAACTGGATCCAACTTCCACGAGTCTGATCCTATTGGATCAACTTGAACATACAGCAATCCATCTTCCTACCACGTTCCAAGGTATTAATACAAAATAAATAAGAGCAGTAATTCATTTATCAAACATCTCATCAAAATTTTGAGCTTCGGCTGCAAACAAAATAGGAAGCACCAAAAATGCAGCTCGAAACTGAAACCATCTTCTTACCACCGCGTTCCAAAGTATTAATAAAAATAAATAAAGCAGTAATTCATTTATCGAACGGCTCATCAAAATTCTGAAATTCTGCTTCAAAACAAAATAGGAAGCACCATAACTGCAGCTCGAAACTGAATGATTATACAGAGTTGCAGTTTGCAATTAAAATTTTCATGCGCTTGGCCAAATTTCCGGGAAACATACTATGAACAAATACGTAAAATAAAATTGATTTAGGATGAGAGATACAAACCTTAGTAAAGCGAGGAGCCGAGTATTTGAGACGTTTAGGACTTCGCTTAACAACAGCCAACGGTTGGAATCGCCGGGTTTGCGGAGGAGCAGCACCGTGGAACGACACGCGAGTGGGGACTGAACACAGAGAGCGGCGGAAAGTGAGAGGAACTGCTCCGGCAACTCCCCAGTGTCCTTGTGCTCTAGCTTCCAACAACATCTCTTCCACTCCCAAAATGATCCTTTCCAGAATGAGACAGAAAACTGAAGAAAGTGGGCTTTTATCTCGTTAGCTACTGGGAAGCAATATAACGACGTCGCTGTGAATAAATGGATAAATCATGTACTATCGAGTAGGGGTGTCAATGCATATTCGAAAACCGACTAAACGGACCGAACCGTACCGCACCGAACTGATTTTTAAGTTTCCTTTTAAGAAACTGTAGGTTTTTATATAAATCTATAACCGCACCGATAATTAGGATAGGTTTTTATTTTATAAAAATAAACCGAAAAAATACCGAACCGTACCGAATAAATTTTACACGTGAAAAATATATTTATTTGGTAAGTTTAAAAATAATAATGCACTAAATTTTCTTTCGGCCTTGGAATTATGAAAACTATTACGAGCCACAAAGTAATAGTTCCTAAACTCAAAATACTAATTCTTAAAACCTATTATGTTACTTCTACTTAAACTAAGTTATTTCAAGTATCTTTATTAGCAAGGCACAAAGTATTTTATTGATTATAGGTAGCGAACTACGATGTATTGAATATGTTTCCTTTCATATAATTTAGATTTATCTTTTTGAATATTTTATCTTCTATAGACTTTATTCTTGAGTCTCATCTTGGTATATCTTTCAACTCGTGTGATTTATATTTTCTTTGTCTTTGTTTGATTTCTTTTACGTTGTTGTAGAATAGTTGATGGATCTATATTCTAACCATCTCTTTTTTAATTCATCACCCTTTAAACAGTAAAAATGTCTAGAAAATTTTGCTAAATCCTATAAAAACGTATGTTATTGCATTCTATTTCTACTAGTAAATTTTATATGATATTTAAAAAAATACCGAAAATTAATCGAACCGTACTGATACCGAAGAGAAACCGATATGATTGAGACGGTTTCGAAAAGTTTAATTTTGGTTATAAATAATAGAATAACCGAAAAAATGATATGGTACAAATTTTATGAAATAACCGTCCGAACCGAACCATTAACGCCCCTACTGTCGACTACAGGCAATTTTCTCTAATTTCCTGATGAGTTTTGACATATTATTTTGAGAAAACTTTCGAAAATTCTTTATTCATTTAGGAATAAACTATTTAGCCTACGCCCGAAACTATTTACATTTAGTAGTCAAAAAAATTATAAAATTTATATAATTTCTATATATAACATACAAAATGTACATATATATAATAAAATATTCAAAATATATATATATATATATNATCTGTTGAAGAACTAGTAACGGGCCGATATCAAGTTTTCTTAGAAGAGAATTTTTTGGATGATACATGAAGGTAATTAAATCCCTGCTGGATCTACTGAATGAAAGATAACACAGTTAATCATATCCTACCAAACCTTGTAAAGCAAACACCTTCAATTTAACACTAAAATTTGCTAAGCTAAACAGAAAATCAGTGTCAAACAACAATTAACGACCTATAATTCAGAATGGCAAATGGTAAAAGTAAACCAGCGAACCACAGAGCACAATTTTCTGAAAATCGTACTAAATAATATGAAGACAATGGAGAACCTCATTAGAATTATGAAATGAATCGAGAATAAAAAAGACACTCTTATTCAAAATCTATTACATGTAAATCCTAGCTACATGGCAAGCATGAATTGCCAAAAGCCCTGCTTGTGCAAGAAAATACTCCATGTATTTGGCCTGTAAGACTGTATCGCGGCCTTATCTTGGAGGAGGAGGAGGAGGAGGAGGCACATTAGATTTTGCAAAACCAACCCACGCAACAATTCCAACAGCAAGTATTACCCATCCAAAAATGTCATACTTCAGATCACTGCTCTTTTTCTTCTTTGAACCCTGGAATGCAAGAGCAGACAGATATTGAAAGGTTAAGCAAAATCCTGTCGACACTGAAACTAAGTTCGATGAAACGAGCCGACTTTTTTGGAATTTCAATAATTCAAACAAACATAACCATAACCACAGAAAAAGTTAACAAAGTCTATAAAGGACAAAAAGATAAACAAAACCACCAAAATTCCATGAAGAGAAATTTCCACATAAAGTTTCTAATTTTTTTAAATAAGGATAAAGTTTCTAATTTTGTAGCCATAGAAGGGACTGCCACTGAGTCTGCACTTCGAAAAACATCATGCTCCACATTACAAAATGAAAGAGAGGAGATAGACTCAAAGAAAGAGATCATGATCTATAAACGCAATTAAAAATAAATAAAAGTGAAGTAGCTTTAAGCATTAGAAATATACTTAGTATCTTAAGGGGTAAGAATTTCTTGCACCGGAGTGGAGGGCAAAACTGACAATAATACCTTTGTACTTGTTGATGCCGAAGGTCCTGGTCCCATAGCTTGTTGCATGGCACCTTGTTTGTGAATCTCCGCGTGCAACTCTGGAGCCTAAATATAATGTACAAGAACATAAATAAATAACAAAAAAGATCATTCATGCATGATAAAGTGAGTTAAAAGAGACAACTGGTTCCCGTCAAAGAATAAGCAAAAGTAATACCACAAGCGCTATAAATCACCTAGAAGGGCATCTAGAAACATATTAGCTTTATATCAATAAACAGAATCCAGCACAACTATTCATTCCACAAATAAGATGCAATGCAATCCAAGATCAATTTTTTTTTCAATTCCTTTGCCGCCTTAGAAATATGAGCCTATGAGCTATCTGAAGAATCTAGTAGTGCGTTTATGTAACAGAAAGGATCAGGTAAAACATTCTGACACCTGAACTTATTGTTTAAAAAGTATACAGATCATAATTCTCAAATGAATATATTTGTAGAACTAAACATGCACAAGGAATGGGCAAATATATAAAAATATGTACTTCGGGGAGCTTTCTACTTGTTGATTGATCGCCGCAGCGTGGTGTCAAATATTTTATTCTTTTTTCCTTGACAACGAATAATTTCACCTATGCACGTCAAACTACTTGCTCAGACACTCATGGGAATTCTTAAACGCGACACAAAAATTCAGCACACTCAACATATCAAAGCCAAGCTAAAAAACAGCAGCTTTACCTTAGAAGCAACTTCTAAAGATTTCCGATAAAGTTCATTGGTTGGATCCTACAGTTCACAGGAACAAAAGTTATGACAATAAGCCTCCCACAATAAGCACTAAAATTATCAGAATCTATATTGAAGAAATATATACCACATCAACAGCCTGCTGGAAGCACTGAGCTGATTTGTCAAAGTAAACCTTAGCTTCATCTTCATCAGGAGTTAGAAATGCCTGGGATGTATGTGCATTCCCCAAACACCAAATGGCGTCATGCTTCTGTGGATTAACCTCCAAAGCCTCCTCCAACTTTGAGATGGCATCTAGATAAGATATTGCCAATTAGAAGACAAGAACAGATAATACTATCTTCATTTCCATCGACTCGTTTAAAAAGAGGTCCCAATATTTCAATCACCCTCCAACCATTTCCTTCCATAGAGTAAGTACGCCATAATAGTTTTGTCTTTGAGCAACATAACAAAATTGTTTGATTACTCACCCATGAAAGGCCCTAATATGATATGGAAATGTCTTTTGTGAGATCCATAAATGTCCCAGTGGTATATCAGGGCATCCAAGGTGTTAAGAATGTCTTAGCCACTCTACTTGTTCTCTTAGGTTTTGTGTTGAATGTTTTAAGTTCTTTCACGTGGACTTAGTCTTAGAGCCAACCCAAGTCAAGTCTCACACTCGCAAAGTCCACACGAGAACCCCAATTTGGTTATATGTGGGGAAGTGTTGAAATATATAGTCTCACATACGGTTTAAAAGGGCATTCAAGGTGCTTAAAATAGTTAAGAGATTTCTTCTCATCTACCTAAATCTTAGAGGGTAGAGTTACCGTACACCTATAGAGCTGTAAATAGGTACGTGATGGAATATTAGAGGTGTGCACAAGCTGGCCCAGAAACCATCAATAAAAGAAAAGGCAGTGTCTAAAAGGTCTTAGTCCACTTCACACTCATTGCCTTAATACTTTAGACTGATTCTTTAACAAGAATTAATTAAATAAACATCCCAATAACTTCGAGAGCATTCTAACAAACGGCAGAGACTGTCCAATGAACCAATTCCAGGAAAACTTTTTAGCAGGGATTACAATACTAGTAATAAATTCAATACCAGAAAGCAATACCAGAAATCATCTTCTTTGATTCCGCGACAGGCTGGAACTGTGACAATTCCAACAATGCACCTCCCCATCTCGTCAAGTTCTGCAAGCGTAATTGGAAACAATAGAAACCAATCCTTAGGCATTAGGGATCTAACCTCAATTTAATATGAGCTGGAGCTATATGAAACTAATACGATAAGCATAAGAACGTACATATTGCCCGAAAGTAATAAATAATACATAAAGAGAGAAGAAAGTGAACATACATCAGCATCGAGAGGATCTTTAGCATAGGTAGCTTCGGCAGTCTTGCGAGCGTGCTCGAAGAAGAGGAGGCGATCGAAATCGTTTTGCTCCATTATCGAATTTGTCAATTTGTCTTCGTGCGATAACTTTACCAGTTAGGGTTCTAAGCTTCAACCTGAAACCTCGTCCACTTAGCTTGTGTTTTCCTTTTGTACACCCAGCGGACTTGCCGGTGAAGTTAGCGAATGCTATCCGAACTGGACTTTGCAAATGGTCTGTGGGCCTATTCCACACTGTATGAATGTGGGCCTGCTCCAGATTAGATAGGCTGGTTGCTGAGCTTTGGGATCTTTACACAAATAGCTGGGTAGAAATGATATCAGGTAGCCACTCTAAAGAGCTGCTTGCTATTTAGGAATTAGCCAGTACGTCTTGAATTTCAGTTTTTCAGTCTAATTTTTTTGGACAAAATGTCCTGAATTGTCCTGAAGTTGAAATTTTTAATTTAAAATTTCAGGACAAAAATAAGTACTGGCTAATCTCTAAGTAGCATCCCTGAGAATGGCTATTTGTGCACTTGCCCAATAGCTAGTCGGATGCATTGTTAATTTTTTATAGCCAATATACATAGATTATTCACTAA